GCGACGATTGGGTAGGAATCGTCGCAAAGAAATGAATTAGAAGTCAGGCCCTAATCCCCTTTTCCCCATTTTCTCTGAATTTCTTCTCTCTCTTTCGTTTTTCCCCTCCGCCGGCGCCCCCCCTCCGCCGGGTCCTCCCCCTCCGCCTCCGCCGCCGCAGTCTGCCGCTGCTCTCTTGCCGTCCGCCGCTGCTCTCCTCCGACCATCTCTCCGCCGCTGCTCTCCACCGTCAACCCATCTCTCCGCTCCGTCGTTTTCCGCCGTCCGCCCCGATCTCTCCGCCGTCCGCCGCTGCTCTCCGTCGTTCGCCGTTGCTCTCCGCTGATTGGAGTAAGTATTTCACACACACACACACACATACACACAGAAGTGTGTTTGTGCGTTTTTCATAAAAAAAATTGAATGTGTTATTTGCATCAAATCAGGTGTGTGTAAATTGAATTTATTGGGGGTGGTTTTGTTTCATAGAAAATTTTGAATGGTTTTATTTGCATCAGAGAGTTTCTTGTACCTTCATCGAAATCGCATTAATCAAAAATGTGAATTAGGGATTCATTTTATAATGATAATGGCAAGATTTTTGTTGAGTATTCTGTTAATTACTTCACTAATGATTATGTTAATTAGGCAACATTTTATAATGATTCTGTTAAGTATTTTGTTATTTTGTTGAGTATTCTGTTTATTTAATTGCCTTATAATTCTCCTGGATGAGCTAATTAAGTATAATGTTAATTGCCTTATAATTAATAATATTAAATAAATATGAAAAAAATGCAGAGAAGAGCAAATAAAAATAATGAAAAGGAGCAAGGATTAGCTAAATCAAGAGCAGCAATTAGCAATTAAAAAAGCAGCTTCTAATTTGCCGTCATCCCGCCGCCAGCCGTTACCGTCTGCCGCCATTCCTCCTCCGCCTGCCCTCCTTTCAAGGTAATTTTCCTTTTTTTTAAATCTTTGTTTGTTTATGTTGAAAATTTTGTATGTGTTTGATTATTGCGAACTATTTTTGGTTTTTTTCTCGGAATTGTGTGTTTGTTTGTTTTATGTTGATTTGATGAGCCTGTGTTGCTCGGAATTATTGTTGCTCGGAATTATGCGAACTACCACCTTAATTTAGTTTTAGTTTATGAATGTAACTTTGAGAATAATTGTGATTTTAATAATTGTGACCATTCCCAATTTCTAGGTAATCTTGTTAATTAAAGCATGCCAAAAGATAGGAGTTGGGTTTTATTAGATGATCGTCGGTTAGAAGTATATCAAAATGGTTGTGTGGAATTTATGGATTTTGCCTTCGCTAAATGTGACGTTGATAATAAAATAAGATGCCCATGTAGAGACTGTAAGTGTCGTAAATGGGGGGATCGTGAATTCGTTCATAAACATTTACTTTGGAGGGGTTGGGATAAACTGTATGGGCAACGCCGATGGACTCTGCATGGAGAGTCTGAAGAACAATACATTGGCGAGGAAATAAACAATACTAATCGTACAGAAATTCCCGAAGTTGCAATTTTAAATGAACCTGTTGATGTACGTGATAATATGGAAGACTTACTGCATGCGTGTCTTCATCACGATCATCATCACGATCAAGAAGATCTGCACGAAGAACCCAACCCCGAAACTGATGATTTTCGTAAACTCATTGAAGAGTGGTGCATCCCCGTTTATGATGGATGCCGGGTATATACTAAACTTTCTTTTATCATGGAGTTCTACAAAATTAAGTCTCGTGGCAAGATGAGTGATAATACATTTACTGAAACCCTTCAGTTAATGAGAAAACTTGATTTTTTAAATATACCCGACTCTTTTTATGAAGTTAAGAAGCTCATCGGTAAATTGGGGTGTGGTTACGTCAAGATTGATGCGTGTGAGAATGACTGCATGCTGTTTTGGAAAGATGACTCCAACTTAAATGCATGCAAAGTGTGTAATGCTTCAAGATGGAAGAATCCAGTAGAAAACCAACCGAGTTCTTCAACCTCTCAGCGCAAAAGGGTACCGAAAAAAGTTTTGCGACACTTTCCATTGATTCCGAGGCTCAAGCGGCTATTTATATGTCAAAAATCAGCAATCAACATGAGATGGCACGCTGAGTCTCGATGTAACGATGGCGTTCTCAGGCACCCTGCTGATTCTGATGCATGGAAAGAGTTTGACAAGAAGCACGAGTCATTCTCTTTGGACCCTCGAAATGTAAGGCTTGGCTTGGCTACAGACGGTTTTAATCCATTTGGATCGTTGAGTAGCAAGCATAGCACATGGCCGGTAATTCTAATGATTTACAATTTACCACCAAATATGTGCATGCAACGTTCTCATATGATGATGTCATTGCTTATTTCTGGTCCAAAAGGCCCGAAAAATGGGATTGATGTTTACTTACAACCCCTGATCGATGAGCTTAATGAGTTGTGGGTCTCTGGAATAACAACTTTTGATGCGTCCACCAGACATTACTTTAATTTGCGAGCGGCACTTTTGTGGACTATCAATGACTTCCCAGCACTTGGTAACTTATCGGGGTGGAGCACTAGTGGCTATCTTGCTTGCCCTAGTTGTGCTGAAAACACTGTGTCCGAACGTTGGTACAAGTCAAATAAACAATGCTATATGGGTCATAGTCGTTTTTCTGAAGAAGGGGCTCCACCCCCACCTTCAGGAGATGAGGTGTTATCAAAAACGGAGGGAATCAATGTTACTTTTGGCGTCGGTCAAGTGGTGCATCGAGATTCACAATGGAGAAAGAGGAGTATCTTCTTCGAATTGCCGTATTGGAAAGACAATCTCATACGACACAATCTTGATGTCATGCACATTGAGAAGAATGTTGGAGAATTATTGCTTAGGTGGTTATTAAATATTCTTGGCAAAAATGACGGTTTCGACAATGCTAAGGAGGACATTGGAAAAATTAAAAAGCCACCATCGGGCAAGCCCGGTCCTCGATTTCCCAACCTCGTTCCAAAATTAGGAAAGTATCACAAATTGTCTGCCCAATCAAAAAAGACAGTTTGTGATGTTATAGCAAATGTTAAAGTTCCTAACGGCTATGCATCTAATATAGCCCGTTGTTTTGGTGAAGACAAAGTAGGGGGATTAAAGAGCCATGACTACCACGTGCTAATGCAACAGTTGCTTCCATTGGCAATTCGCAATGTGGGGTTACCAAAAAAATTGGCAAGTACAATAATCCAATTGTGCAGTTTTTTCCGAGAATTGTGTTCAAAAACAAACTCAGTTGAAGATTTTCGAAAACTGCACTCTGGTATTGTAAAAATCTTGTGTGATCTTGAGAAATTGTTTCCCCCGGCGTTCTTTGTTGTTATGATGCATTTGCCGGTTCATCTAGCTCATGAAGCAATGGTTGCCGGACCGGTCAATTATCGATGGATGTATCCGATAGAGAGGTATTTATAATTTTTTAAATGTTAATGCATTTTCTAATAATTTATAATTTATTAAATGTTTTATAAAAAGAAATTCTACCTCAGATACTTGGGTCACTTGAAGTCATTCGTACGGAATAAAAAGTGTCCCGAAGGTTCGATTGCCGAATGCTACATCACTGAGGAGTGCTTAAATTTTTGCTCATTGTACACAGAAAATTCATCTATGAATATTTGTGACAATGACAAACAAGGAAATGAAGTGCGACCTAAGTACATAACGCTTAGTTATGATGAAATGGAAAAGGCGCACACCTATTGTCTTTTTAACTCAGATGAAGTTCAACCTTACATTGAGTAAGTGACTTGCTAATATTTTGAGTTACTACTATCTTCAATTGATTTCCACTTAAAAAACTACACAAATCCTTTTAGGGAGCATTTCGAGACAATTAAGAATAAAATCTCGACAAGTGACCATGCATACCAATGGCGCATTCAGCAATTACAAGAAAAAGAATTTCGTCATTGGTTTCAATCCTATGTAAGTGTTTGATTTGACTTGAACTTTCTTTGCAAATTGTTTTGAACAAAGTAGTAATAATTAATTGATAACGAAATAGGTGCAAGGAAAAAGTGAATTGTCTGAAGATCTGAAAGCCTTAGCTTGTTCACCTCAATTTAGAGTGAAGAATTTGAAGAGATTTGAAGTGCAAGGATTTATGTTCCGCACAAAATCATCTGAAGAGTCTCTTTTAACTCAAAATAGTGGTGTTTTTGTCAAAGCAAAGACTACTAGTTTCGCAAGCTCAAAGGATAAATCTCCGAAAGAAGAAGATGTAGGGTACTACGGCGTAATAAAAGACATCATTGAACTTTCATTCGCTGTAGGTACAAAAAAGGTGGTTTTGTTCGAGTGTGATTGGGCTAATATTCGCATGAATAAGACGGATGGTTTGGGATTTACACTTGTGAACTTAACAAAACCAGATATAAAAACAAGTCCTTTTGTTATGCCATGTCAAGTATTGCAAGCATTCTACGTTGAGGATCCGCAAGATAAACCATGGATGGTTCCTATTGTTATTAAACCAAGGGACAACTTTGCCTTGAGTCCTGATGATCCTAATGCAGTTGAAGATGAATGCTATGAGATACTTCCTATAAACCATGACATAAATATTATAGATGATATGGAAGAGTGAGGGATTATTTTGTTGATCAAATGTTAGTTGATTGTAATTTACTTGTAATATATTTTTGTTTATGTGATCATTTTAATTTTTTATTATAATTTACTCGTTATATAAATTATGTTTCATATTTATTGCCATATATCATGCATGTCATAAGTATTGTGTTCATTTTATTTTTGTCTATGTATATCTTATTTCTTTTCTCAGGCGAGCGATGTCGGAGGAAGATATTTCTGTTGATCATATAGGTACCGAGTCCACAGGTACTGACGTGGTTGATTTGGAGTTTGACGACAAGGGTATTCCCGTTGCACCTGGGAGGTACAAGTTGGCGGTGGTTATTAGTAACGAGGTTACGCATTGGGATAATTTTGATCCATGTATTTCTTGGCCTAACCACAAAAAAATGGGCCGTGTCGAGGGACTGTGGAAAGCGTTTAAGGTATTTGTATGTAATTTTTATTTTATTTAAGTTATTTAATTTTATGTTTCATTTCAATTGTATATTTTTTTTTATTTTTTTTAGGAAACTTGGAAACTTCCTGAAAATGAGGCTACAAAAAAATGGTTCAATGAGACTGCTAACGGTCGTTGGAAAGATGCGAAAACTAAACGATTGAAGGCAGTCTTTGATAGAGCTCCAGACCTTGCCACGGCTAAGGCAAATTGTCCAAATAGGATTAGTGTTCAAACTTGGGAGAAACTATGTGATCAATTTCATTCTATTTCCACTCCTGGTGTTGATGGGAAGGTAAATTATATATATTTAATTTATGGATCATGTTTAAATATATTAAAGAGGTTTAATTTTTTGTGTTATTGTTCACAGTCCAAATCAACCAAATGCAAGGACTCGCGAAAGAAAGTCTCGACAGACCACCATTGGGGTCGAACAAGTATCAATAGTTGGTCCCACAATCATGTAAGTAATTTGATCTATAATTTTAATTTATTTAAGTTTAAAATAGATACTTACTTTATAATATTTTAATATAGTTTAAAAAATTGGGCAAAAATCCTACGGTGTTTGATACGTATAAGAAAGCATATATGGGTATTGATGTACGGAGGGAAACCGGGCCAAGTATTAGTGAGGAAGGAGATACAGAAGAACCGTATAATGGGATAGCAACTCCTGAACAACTTCGCATTTCGGTAAGTGTAATGCAATTTTATCTTCAGTTGGTTGTATGTTAATTATTTATGTTTATTGTTATCGCATGTTTATCATATGTAAATTATTTGATATGTTAAATTAGTACGTAGTTGAGATATCTGGATATGAATATTTGTTTTAGATAATATTAAGTTGTTGCGTACATGGATGGTTTTTTTGGGATGTTCATTTATTAGTTGTTATGCTGTCGAAATTTTTGCTAAACAAGTGTACTTAATCATTTTCAGGCTGATTTGGAACGAGTGTACGATGAGACAATTCGTGATGGAAGTGACGAAAGCACGGCCAACTCAATTGCGATAGAAAAAGTGCTCGGGAAAAGCAAAGGGCTTGGAATTAAGATTGCAACCACCACAAAGAGTTCAAAGTCGAGATTTTCTTCAATTCCGCCGGAAGTGCAAATGGAAATGAATTCAATGAAAGAGCAAATGCTACTTAAAGATGAAAAAATGGAAAGATTGGAAGCGGAATTGAAAGAAACCCGAGAAATTGTGAACACCTTGGTCGGCCGTTTTGGACTACAAGCCTCAACATCGACTCCTTCCAATGATGGTGGAGTATAAAAAGTGATGAACTTTGTTTGGTTTTTGAATTAAACTTTGCAACACTACATTATATGCTTTTAAGTTTTATGTACTTTTTTAATTTATGTTTTGTGCTACCTTGATATTTAATCCGTATAATTGGTTTTAATATTTTCGATATAAGTGTATTTTTTTTTTGTACAACTGCTGAATACAGGTTGAATTTCTTAAATGAAAAAATAAATAAACCAGAAAATATATTAAAAAAAATAAAAAACCTAGCGACGAATAAATAAAACAAATCGTCGCAAATAAATCGTGGGGCTTGCGACGAAAACGGACATTAGTCGCAAATATTTTTCGTAAATTTAGCGACGAAAACGTCACAAAACGTCGCTCACAATAGCGACGAAAATAACATTCGTCGCCAAGGTTTGCGACTTATTACGTATTCGTCGCAACAAGTAAGCGACGAAAGTATAGGATCCGTCGCTAACATAAAAAAAACATTTTTTTCCAGAAAATACGAATTTGGCGACGATTTATTCAATTCGTCGCAAACCTTTGCGTCGAAAATGTTTTTTCGTCGCCGCTCTTGCGACGGGACGTTTGGCGACGTTTTGTGTAGGATTTGGCGACGAAAATAATTCGTCGCAAACAGAAAAAAATCGTCGCCAAATACACATTTTCGTCGCCAAATTTCGTCGCCAGTCGACTGTTTTGGCCTAGTGACCCAAAAGTGGATTCGCAAAAAGGATCATGAAAACACAAACTACAATCCTAGGACATTAATACAAATCAACAAACATGCATAAGCACACTCGCTCAAATGGACATGCACAAACGTACATGTAAAAAAACATGCGCAACAGTGCATTCGCAACAACGTTCTTAAAAACACGAACTACAATACTCGGACTTTAATACGCATCAACAAACAACAGCAAAAACACTAGATAAAAAGGATACAGTGCAGTGTAGATATAAAACTCCACGTTTACGTTTAGGTGGATTTTTTCGGATTAATTTATATTTCTATATTAATTGGTGGATTTGGTATCTTATAGGTAGAAGTCGAAAATTAGGTGTCCTGGAAGCAAAAATGATCAAAGAGTAAGAAAAGAGTTGCAATTAGGAAAATAAAATCAAATTAGAAGAGAGAATCCCCGAACATCTTTGGTAGTGTCCACGAAGTCGAGCATAACTTTCTCATACGTACTCCAAATCAACTGGTTCCGGCGGCATTGGAAACCTATTTCAGATGGCTACAATTCCTGTCTAATGGCAAAATTCCAAATTCGGACTCGAACATGGTCAAAATTGGATTCCAAAAGCGATCATGAAAATACATACTACCGTTCGAGGACATGAATGCGGATCAAGAATTGTGCACAAAAACACTCGCTAGAAGAGTTACGCACATAAGTAAAAGTACTAAAGCATGCACAAAAGTACTCACGCAAATGTGGATTGGCAAAAAGGATCAGGAAAACACAAACTACAATCCTAGGACATTAATACAAATCAACAAACATGCATAAGCACACTCGCTCAAATGGACATGCACAAACGTACATGTAAAAAAACATGCGCAAAAGTGCATTCGCAACAACGTTCTTAAAAACACGAACTACAATACTCGGACTTTAATACGCATCAACAAACAACAGCAAAACCACTAGATAAAAAAGATACAATGGAGTGTAGAAATAAAACTCTACGTTTACGTTTTGGTGGATTTTTTTTTGCATTAATTTATATATCTATATTAATTGGTGGATTTGGTATCTTACAGGTACAAGTCGAAAATTAGGTGTCCAGGAAGCAAAAAATGATCAAAGAGTAAGAAAAGAGTTGCAATTAGGAAAATAAAGTCAAATTAGAAGACAGAATCCCCGAACATCTTTGGTAGTGTCCACGAAGTCGAGCATAACTTTCTCATACGTACTCCAAATAAACTGGTTCCGGCGGCATTGGAAAGCTATTTCAGCTGGCTACAATTCCTGTCTAATGGCAAAATTCCAAATTCGGACTCGAACATGGTCAAAATTGGATTCCAAAAGCGATCATGAAAATACGTACTACCGATCGAGGACATGAATGCGCATCAAGAATTCTGCACAAAAACACTCGCTAGAAGAGTTACGCACATAAGTAAATATACAAAAGCATGCACAAAAGTACTCACCCAAAAGTGGATTCGCAAAAAGGATCATGAAAACACAAACTACAATCCTAGGACATTAATACAAATCAACAAACATGCATAAGCACACTCGCTCAAATGGACATGCACAAACGTACATGTAAAAAAACATGCGCAAAAGTGCATCCGCAACAACGTTCTTAAAAACACGAACTACAATACTCGGACTTTAATACGCATCAACAAACAACAGCAAAAACACTAGAAAAAAAGATACAGTGGAGTGTAGAAATAAAACTCTACGTTTACGTTTAGGTGGATTTTTTTCGGATTAATTTATATTTCTATATTAATTGGTGGATTTGGTATCTTATAGGTAGAAGTCGAAAATTAGGTGTCCAGGAAGCAAAAAATGATCAAAGAGTAAGAAAAGAGTTGCAATTAGGAAAATAAAGTCAAATTAGAAGAGAGAATCCCCGAACATCTTTGGTAGTGTCCATGAAGTCGAGCATAACTTTCTCATACGTACTCCAAATAAACTGGTTCTGGCGGCATTGGAAAGCTATTTCAGCTGGCTACAATTCCTGTCTAATGGCAAAATTCCAAATTCGGACTCGAACATGGTCAAAATTGGATTCCAAAAGCGATCATGAAAATGCGTACTACCGTTCGAGGACATGAATGCACATCAAGAATTGTGCACAAAAACACTCGCTAGAAGAGTTACGCACATAAGTAAAAGTACAAAAGCATGCACAAAAGTATTCACCCAAAAGTGGATTCGCAAAAAGGATCATGAAAACACAAACTACAATCCTAGGACATTAATGCAAATCAACAAACATGCATAAGCACACTCGCTCAAATGGACATGCACAAACGTACATGTAAAAAAACATGCGAAAAAGTGCATCCGCAACAACGTTCTTAAAAACACGAACTCTAATACTCGGACATTAATACGCATCAACAAACAACAGCAAAAACACTAGATAAAAAAGATACAGTGGAGTGTAGAAATAAAACTCTACGTTTACGTTTAGGTGGATTTTTTTCAGATTAATTTATATTTCTATATTAATTGGTGGATTTGGTATCTTATAGGTAGAAGTCGAAAATTAGGTGTCCAGGAAGCAAAAAATGATCAAAGATTAAGAAAAGAGTTGCAATTAGGAAAATAAAGTCAAATTAGAAGAGAGAATCCCCGAACATATTTTGTAGTGTCCATGAAGTCGAGCATAACTTTCTCATACGTACTCCAAATAAACTGGTTCCGGCTGTTGGGGATCGTGCATGTATACGCAGCGGAATTTAAAATTTTTTCATCGAACTAGTTTCGATTACATGCAAAACTAATCACATAGTCAACGTACCTTAACGCTTCCGCCATACATATGGTAATTATCGATTTTAATTGAAAATTACATAAAACCGAAAATCACGAAACATGCTCATTCATCATTTAATGAAATCGAAAATGTAATCACATATTACTCATAATCATAAATTTCAATTCATACAAATATGTTCGAATTAATTTACGATAGTTCCGATTTAATTACCTCTTGTAGCGTGAGATTTCGACGAATCGAAATCCAAACTCAAACACGTACAAGCTGCGTTATACCACTCCTAGGGCTGCGGAAACACCACCAAACGGCAGCTGGTCCGAAGGTGAGGCGACGGCGGCGCGTGGGAGTCAGCGGCGGCGGCGCGTGGGCGGTGCAGCGGCGCGTGCGGCGGTGCAACGGCGGCGCGGTGATTCCGTCGGGGCAGCAGCTCCTCTCCAATTAGGTTTCACCTCGAATAAACGGATCTCCCCCTACTGTAGCACTAGATACAAAGGGGTTAGATAACAAAGGGAATACGATAGAGAAAGGAGAGGAAAAACCGGCGGATTCCGGCGGTGATCGGCGCCGGAGCGGCGGGGCAGCAGCGGCCGAAGAGGGGGACGGCTAGGGCTTGAGCGGCTAGGGTTTGGTTGCTGAAAAATCTGACCTCAAACTCTTGTTTGAGGTCTATTTATACTTAGGGTTTTCAACCCTAGCGGGCTTAAGTCAGTGGGCTTTACCCACTGATGCATTAAGCCCATTCCCTCGTCGGCCTCGTTTCTAATAAACGATCGTCCACAAAATTATAACAATTATATATTTGTGACGAGCTCAAAGTCCTCGTCGATACGAGTGCCTCTTCGAAATTTCCAATTTCCAAAATTGGAAACTTCCACTTTAGTGGACTTGCTAAATCGGGAAACTTCCCAATTTAGAAAGTTTACTAAATTCCGCATTTCTCTTTCTCTACGTTTATTCCGACTCGTAATCCACAATCACGAATCTTGGACTCAATCACATTGACCTCCAACTTTGCAAAGATTAACATATTAACCTATGCTCATTGTTATCAAGGATCCATGTTACACGAGAAGTGTGACCCTCAATGGTTCAGGTGTATGCTAGCCGTGGGCTCACAACTCTTTGTGATTCGAACAACACATTGTTCTTATACGAACTCCTCCCAAGAGTCCCGATTAGAGTAAAACTCATTTTACCTAATCCCGATCAAATCGGTGCCCAACGAATCAAGATTGGCGTCTAGCAACTACGCATCATGATTCCCTAGATACAAATGAAGTGCCTGCAAGAACCTTATGATATAGTTAGCGTACAGTACGATCCCTTCGTAGCACATGTCCCGATTGAACTAGAGGCATTGGTTCACCGAGACCTCTTATAAAGTTCAATAACCGTGCGAACGTTCTAGGTATTATAAATCCGTTCGTGTGCGACTTAGGGAAACACATTTCCCTAATCACCCCACTATCAATTCTGGCCAGAGATTCCATGGATTATAAACCGTCAGAACACACAGGAAATCCATGACTACTCAAGCGCTCGAATCCCCTACTACAATGCACAGACTTCACACTAGATTTCGGATTGCACGAACGTTGGCCCTTGGAGCGGTCCGCGGTGGGACTCAGGGACAGGTCACGATACAATCGGTCCTCTAGTGAAGTCACGGTGATGTCTGGGTC